GAGAACATTAACATAAACAGTGAACATTAGTGAACTGTTTAAGCAGCTGACTGGATGGATGAGCAGTTTTACAAGCTAAGATTTGTTACTGTCAATCTTGTTAGCTTCTGAGTTTAGCTAGCCACGTAGATAAAATAAATTTACACACTAATATCTTAAAGTTAGTGTTACATGGATCATAATTTATTTCACCGTGATGTACGTTAAGTTGCAGTTACGCTAACAAATGTAAACTCACCAGCTGAAGCACAGACACAGAGACATCCTCGGAGTTCTTTGATGAAGAGTCCAGTCGTGGACTCTCACAGGCTGACTTTAATGCTGAGAGGAGGAGGGGGGAGGCTGCTGAACTCCTCTCTCCTCGCAGAAAAACACAGAGCAACTTTCTGCTCGCGTTTTGTCGAAGCACACGTGAACCCGTCTGTGGGCGTCACCAGCACCATAGACATACATTTTAGATTAGGTATGGCAGCTCTATACAGCTCTGGATGTAATTTGGGTGTAGTCTGTTTGTCATATGTCTGGTGTTTTGCCTGCCTGCATGCTGAAACCACCTGACACGTTACAGCCAATACCGAAACTCAACACCGAAAGAAGAGTGACGTTTCAATACATACACCCACCGGTGCAGTTCGGTCGGTGCCATAAAAGAACCTCAGTTCGGTACTCAGCCCTATCCATGGTGCAAATTTCTCATTCCACCACATTCCAAAGGTGCTCAGTAGGTTTGAGATCTGGTGACTGGAGGCTGCTGAAGTCCAGTGGATTGAGACTTGTCATACCAGGCAATGTTTTTCCAGTCTCTCACTGTCCAGTTGTAGTGTCTGTGTGAAGTGTAGTCTCAGTCTCCTGTTCTTAACTGGTTGGTTCTTGATAGTCTTCTGTTGCTGTATTCCATTGGCTTCAACGTTTGACGTGTTGTGTATTCAGATATTCTGTGTACCTTAGTAGTAAAAAGTGGTTATTTTAGCTACTGTTTCTTTTAATCTCAAACATTCTCTTTGTTTTCTGATTTATGTGCACTTTTGCTATCACTGGACAGTTTTGTCTCATTCAGACTATATTAATGTATACACTTTTAAACCCATCAAACTTTTACCACAGAGCGGAGAACTGCTAGGCTGCTTCTCGTGCCGTCTTACGGCACGTCACTTTTTTCTCTTCTTTCCCCCCATACTTCCTTTCTAATAGTTTTTTTTAACCATAGAAAAATCCACAATTGCTTTTGAATTTGTCATTTTTGTGTTTAAATGCTTCAAAGCTGAAGGCCTCTTGAGTAACTATAAATATTGAAAGCTTTTCGTTAATGTTTTACACATATATCTCATTGGAGCCTGAAATTGATTTGAAGTTGGCTGAAAGGAGACAAGCGTTTTGAAAAGCAAACCCAGGAGAGGAAAGTAGTTGGGGTTTTTCTTTTTTTAATTTGAGGGATTAGTTTAACATTCCCTTAATGTAAGATTGATAACGGCTCGACATATCCTAGTGAGCCCTATCTCTTTCCTTTTTCTTCTTCACTCGAAGTGTTTGAGATATTAAGCAACGGCAGTCTTTCTAGGCACAGCAGTTTTTGTCTTCTTCTTTCAGCTGAGCTGAAAGTGGACTTGTGCTCCCCTCAGGGATATATTACCTAAAAACACAACCTTTTCTTAGCCCCCACCATAAAAATCAAGCCATTACTTTTCAGACACACACTTGCAGTATGACAAAGAAGAGGCACCCTCTCTTAATTTTCTTGAAACTTTTGCTGACCCTACATTGCTTTGCTCACATCGGAACAGTAAAACATCCTGGTGTAAGCATTACATATAAACAATGGAAAAAGTACAAGCTGAACAGGGACAGTAGTGCACATTTACCACATATTGAACAAGTTGTAGTTATTGATGGTCTTTTAAAACCTTATCTTTTTGAATTTGATAGGTTTTGAACATTACACCACCATCTGGTGTGGTGATGGCACCGAATCATTTCAGTGCATTAACTTTTGGAGTCAGTCCAACTCAAGATATTTGCCAATATTAGCCAGAACGGAAATGACTGACAGACATTGTGACAGAGTTACATGTGGTAGTAGCTGAAAGTGATGCTGTATTTCAAGCACTACCACATTTCTGAAGACCAAACAAAATTGAATATACATGTGATGTTACTGTATTTACATGGTTTGACTAAAACGGTTATAATTCTACCCCACTGATCATAAAATTAGCTTAGTTTAAAACGATACCATAGTAGTTTGTGGCCAGTATAAGATGAAAAGATATGATATGCATTCCTTCAAAGAATTTAAAGCATTTAATTTTTAAATTGTTTCAAGCAAAATGTAAAAACAAATCTTGATGTTTGCACATTGGTTTGAGGTTTTCACAGCGCAACATCTGTGTCGCTCTTATCACTTTATAGATTAGGAAAATATTTCTAAAGCACATCAAAGTTCTCCATTAGATTGTAAATCAAATAACAGGCATGGCATTTAAAGAAAACATTTTTCAATAAATGTCAGAGCAAGAGTCTGAACTTCTCCGCTGCAGTTGGGCTTTTTGAGTAGACAACAACGGCCCCTTTTTTTTTTTTTCCTGAAACAAAATATTTTGTAATCCAGATTTCAGAGTGGAGCTGTTTGGGTGTGAAACACTCCACAGATGTGTGAAATTGCACATGCATACAACAAGCGGTGCAGTCAGAAGTTTGTCTGCACTTGTGAGAGTAAATGAACAACAGTTCCATCAATAACAGAGAGCAACGTGTTTTTTTGTGCCACACACCCTTTTTTCAACATGCAGAAGCAAGCCAACAACATCCTCGGTCCAAAGGAACCTTTGTGTATACCATATTCGTGCAAATCTCCCTCTGAAAAAGTGCACCTTCATTCAGCACATATGATCATTTGTGTCATAATACAATAATTTTAAGGCAACGGTACAAAAGTTCATTATTTCCTATCTGGCAACCCTGTTTACCATGTAAACCGCAGATGCCACACTAAACATTGAAAAGACACTGTCAATCAATCGATCAGGTGGTTTCTGTAGCCCCCGCGGTGCCGAGTCATTTGAGGCAATCATTTCAATTCAGTTCAGTTTATTTATACAGCGCCAAGTCACAACAGAAGTCATCTCAGGGCACTGAACAGAAACATTCATATACACAAAAACAAGTTAACACTATTTATCCGAGGAGCAGATTTTGAGTTTAACTTCATCGCAGACTCTCATTTTGAGCAAGCATGCAGGAGACAGTGGAAAGGAAAAACTCCCTCATGAGGAATAAACCTCTAGCAGAACCAGGCTCAGGACAAGTGGCCATCTGCTTCATGGCCAAAGTGGTTCAAAATATCCTGATTCATGCTCAATAATCCAGGTAGAAAAATCTAATAAAATTGAGTTGGATTAATGATCTTGAATTAGGATGTTTTGAACCTTGTTGGCCACCATGGCCTCAAACGACTTGGTGGACTACAGAAACCACATGAGCACCATCAACCTGGTTGACGCACTATGTTAAGATGCTACTTGCATTTATAAGAGTTGTGAGTTTGTTGTGGCTCCCGACTGATGAAGTCTTTTGGATGAAAGACAAAACTTTTCAACAAACACAAACCATCCAGAGGACCTGACTTAACTTTGTTAGCTATCATACTGATAGTCACTATTTTTGCTGGTTTTTAGGAAATCATTATTCAGAAAAAAATGGGACATTTCATTAATGCAAATGAGTTTGGAAGCTGCCAAATTCTTCTAATCCTCAAACTATTTGTCTCACTGGGATGGCAATCTAAAAGGTGACCTCAGATTTGTTGTCTTAGAGCTGTAACTGTAATGTATTGCAGATTATAGAATTGGCAACAGCCTTTCTCCTTTCTGCAGTCTTTCACCATCTGTGATGAAGAATCTAAATAAGCTTTCAGATGGAGAAGCTTAGTAGAGACACATTTCTTGTATTTTAGTAGTGGAAGGAGAAATACCAGGGTATAGAAAAACAACAAGGAAAAGGTATGTATTCAGTAATTTTATGTGTGTTTTCTCATCCCTGTCTGTTTATTAATTATAATAAGTACCGTTTTATTCATGGCCAAACAGAAACGATGTTGGGAAAGTATAAATATCAAAAATCGACCAACACAGACGAAAAGTTAATAAAGAAGTCGCAAAGAAAATAACATTTAAATAAAAAGGAAGAAAAGTATTTTCCCAACATGCAGTTTTCCACTCTTTTGCCAAGCTAGTCTGTGTTGGTGCCATCTAGGAATAAAATAAAATAACTGCTTTTCTGTAACATTTTCTATAACATTGCAACATAAATCTGATTATACGCCAGGCTCACTTGTACACGACATGTGAATCGCCCACAACCTCAATCTGAACTGCAGAGGTCACATTGTTGGACATGCCTGCACTGCAGTAGAAGATGTACAAGCTGCTCAGTTGTTCAGAGCAAAGAGCCATTTTATTAAATAAATAAAAACATTGCCTATTTGATAGGTGCACCTATTTTATCCAGCCTGTAGTTACTGTATCATATTTTCCCATCTGAAGTTTTATTGTTTCTTAATGAAGAGATGAAACGTTAATGGGTCCGTGTTGAAGTTCCCAACAAAATGCAAAGGTGCGGCTGTAGAAATGTGACTGGGATGCTGTGGCCCCAAGGAGGGGAAGGTACAGAGATATTCTTGAACCTGTTTGAAAAAGCAACAACTTTGTCCAATTTTTAATGCGTTTGAAGAAAATTTACAGATGTTTGTTGCACAGTGTAACTAATTAAGGAAGGAGCTGAAACTCTGGGTCTGTTGTGTTTGAACGGTCAGTGTGGGTCATAGCTGCGCACCGTCACATTCCAGGGACTATTCTCTAAGGGCAGGTAATAAAACACCTAAACTGCAGTGAAATTAGATTCCAGGTTGTGCACCTTGCATGTAGTTTTGACATTCTTGAAGTCCAAGAAAGAGTCTTCTATTTTGTAAAAAAAAGTTTAAAAAGAGTGCTAATGTTCCCTTTCAGCTTGCGATGACTCACCCCAGCCACCACCTCAACTTTGGCATGAATCCTGATCACGCTCGCAACTCGCTGTCCAACTGTGGTATCCGTCAGCCGAAGTATGGGGACAGGAAGGTCCACCACATGTACATGAGAAAAAAAGGTCCATTTATATTCAGCTGCTTCTTTTTGCTCTTCATTTTTTTAGTCATGGTGCCTAACCCTTCCACGATGTGGCTCGTTTATCTTTTCAGGAATCAACACGTTGATTAACATCATGTCTCGTTTGGGGCAGGATGACCCTTCTCCTTCCAGGTGGGATACCTGCAGGCACATATCTGTTCATGCTATCAGCGACCACAGGCACAATCAAAGGGATGAATCTTGTGATTAATATACCTGGCAGGCCTGCTGACAAGAAAATTAACTTTAACTGTGGAAGGAAGGCGTATCGCAGAGGGAAATGAAATGAGCTAATTTTAAGGGCAACGGCTGCTTATTATTGGATGTGAGCTGTAGTTATTCTCAGATCCAGTGTGTCTGTCTTTCCTCACATCTCCACCTCTTTTCTCTTCCATCTCCTCTTCACCTCTACAGGATCAATCACAACGAGAGACTGGAGTTCCTCGGGGATGCTGTTGTCGAGTTCCTCACCAGGTGAGACCACGCGTCTTTGATAGACGCAGGCGCTAATTGAAGCTGAATGCAACACTGTCGGCCTTTCTGTCTTTTTTTTTCTTTCCCTTCGCACCCTCTCACTTCGTTTCCTTCCATCTTTCTCATTGTCTACGTTTCCTTGTCTGTCACAGCCGCACTCTTCTCCATGCTTTCGCCTCATTCGAGACACTGATTCACCAGTAATTGGAACTGGATATAAGCACCCCACCATTTCCTCACCCCTCACTGTATCCCCCAATTTATTTCAACAGCCAGAAATTCTTCATGACAACTTGCAATTAGCTGTCTTGAATTGCTGTCAGGATTGCTGACTGTGTTATTGACTCCCAGGTGAGTGAGGACGTTACTGCCCAGCACTTACCTAAGCACACTGCTAATTATACATGTGTGTGTATTTATAGATGATATTAATCTCACACACTACCAAGCAAATCAGCTGGCTACATGTCCGCTTACTGTACCAACGCCACCTCCTTTAAGACGAAACAACTGCAGCAAAACAAAAAGAAAAATACTTTTTGAATGATTTGTCTCCAATAGAAACGTTGTAACCTGTAAAGTGCATTCAACCTTTATTTATACAGGTTAGTGTCACTGAGCCTCGAAGACTCATTCACAAGAGATCTGGTTTAACAAAGAATGACGACAACTGGGGGTGCACCAATTGCAGTTTTCTGGCCGATCGCCGATTTCTAAAAAGTCTGAGCTGCCGATTCCGATTTTGGTCGATACCGATTTTGTTTTGAAGCGACACTTGTCAGGTGTTATCAGGTCACAATGCACCTTCGATTTTCCAATATTATTTTCTTGAAAAACATGCCCTTGAACAATATCCTAGAAACAATGCAAACTTGTTTTAACTGGCCATGAGGCAGTGCTCTGAAATATGAATGAAGTTCAGACAATTGTTGTTAAAACACTAAAAAAGGGTCAAATCGGCTTCTCGTGTAAGTATCGGTTGACTTAAGATTTCCCAAAATTAAAGAAATCGGGGCCGATTTATCGTTGCGCCCCTAATGACAACAGTAGACAACAATGACCAACAGTAGTCATAAAAGAAAACATATAAATTGAGAAAAATATTAACACATCATTGGCCATGTTTAAATAACTAAGCCGTTCTGTGTTTTTTTTTTTTAATATACTACACCTGCAAATACCATAGGAAGTTTTCCAGAAATGTATAGCAGTATTGTGCTTTTTCTGGTATTCTGGACCACTTCAAGTCAAAGCTACAGCACATTTAAATACATCGTTTGATGACCAAACTGTTGTACAAAGTTTAAAATCAAATATAACTGCAGGTGAACTCAATGCAATAAAAATGCCAAATAACACAGAGACCTATGTTAAATAAAATAAACTTAAATAAGAACATCTAATGAAGTAAAATCAAGAACACTTGTTTAGCTTTAACTGAAAACATCAACTACAGATTGATTTTCCTCACAGTTGTAACACCAACAGTTTGAACAGCATGCGGACAAATATTCCCTCTTTTTTCTTTAGGCTCCTTCACAAGACGACTCGGTCCAGGACTGAAATGCCTCCTGGCTGCCTCGCTTTTGACTTTTTAATGAACAGATGCGGCAGTGGGGGTCGAAGCCAGCCCACCCCTGGACTGGTAGTAACAGAGGTGAAATAGTCGATATGTGAAAGTAAGCCGGCGTCGCAGCTCAATAATGTGATAATCTGATGACAGTTGTGTGCATCTGCCAAGTCCATTAACAAATATTTATTACCGAGGGAATATTGATGGTGACCCACATCAACTTCATAGTTTAAAGAAAAAAATTAATAAAAAATCAGTTAATCACAAAGCGGCTCGCTAAACTGAGTAAATTCATTACATTTTGTGAATGACGTGAGGTAGACGTAGTGTTGCTGACGCATTACGTCATCACAGCTGAGTTCTGCTCCGTGCCTCTGTTCGTTCTGCATTGCTTGCTTCATTTCTGAGGGCTCGGTCTGTGTGGTGAGTGCAGCCCCATCAGTGATTTATGAACGGCCAGAGGGAGGATAAAGAGGGACTGGTCCATGCTCCAGTTTTGCAGAACCGTTTTATGAAAGAGCCTGTTGTTGGGACGTAAAGCTGCTGGACTCGCTTTACAGAAGCTGCCATCTTGTATTTTTGGATGCATGAGCAGCGTACTGTGCATTGAATTAAAACATAATTCTGTTCTTCTTTATCAATTTTAACCTGAACGTTTCTTACCTGTTTTATTTATTTATTTATTTATTTTTCACTGTTCAGTGTCACACTTGGCACGGTGGCTCACTTGGTAGAGCAGTTACCTCTCAGCCAGGTCGCCGGTTCAAATCTCGGATGGGGGCCTTTCTGGGTGGAGTTTGCATGTTCTCTCCGTACATGTGTGGGTTTTCTCCGGGTACTCCAGTTTCCTCCCACAGACTAAAAACATGCATGTTAGACTGATTGGTAACTCTAAATTGTCCCTAGGTGTGCATGAAAGAGTGAATGGTTGTTTGTCTCGTTTGTCTCTATGTGTCCTTGTGATGGACTGGAGACATGTCCAGGGTGTCCCCCGCCTCTTACACAGTCCTGGCTGGATATGGGCACCAGTGACCCCTGCAACCCAAAAAGAAAGCAGTGGGTAAAGCTAATGGATGTCTGGATGGATGTTCACTGTCAGTTGAGACAAATTTCTTCGATCAACATACAAACAAATTGACCTCTTAAATCTACCAATGACTCCCTTTATAATCAATCAATCAATCAATTAATAAATAAATGGCATCTACATTGTCCTTTTCAAGAATCCTAATCCGTTAACCTCTAGTCCGGTCCGTCATATGTTTCAGTTCCAGTGTTACAACGAGGTCACTTAGCCTCTGTTTCTCAAGAGATCTCAGGTCATGTTTGTCTTTTCCTTCCCCATTGTCCTCCCACCTCTGCCTGGCTTTTTGGACTGTTAGCATCTGACGAGACACGCTTGGCCTACGCTCCGGCCCCCTGAATTATTTATCAGCCTCTTGTCCAGTTAAATGGCTACAGCAAAGCCAGCCAGCTGCTGCTTGCGGGCTGCCCTTAGAGGCTCTCTGTGCCTCTGCTGTCCAGCCAACAGAATGTTTTGCACATTAGAATGGCCCCCAACTTACAACAAGGGAGGGGTTAGTGCTGAACAGAGGGGGCCCACAGGGTCATCAGATGATGTTAAAAATAAATCTCACAGGGTCCTTTTCATATACAGTGCCTTGTGAAAGAATTCGCCCCCCTTGACTTTTTCAACCTTTTGCCACATTTCAGGCTTCAAACATAAAAATATAAAATTTAATATATATATATATATTTTTTTTCTCCATCTGAAAGCTCTTCAACAGTTTAAATTTGTAATAATTTGTTTAATTCAATTATGTTTATTTAAAGTCAGTTCCCAACAAAAGTAACATAATTCTTTACGCTCATCTTTTGATTAAAAGTCTTTCTAGATATTGTTTAATTTTTTTATTTAGTTATCTTTTAAGCCACCGAGCCAAAGAACTAGTATTTAAGGACATGGTGCCCTGAAACACGCTCTGCTAACTTTTGATTTGATTGACTTACTGTTAGTGTTATTGTTTATTAAAACTTTACAGCTTTATCTGAAGACAAGTTTCTTTATGAATATTATTTTTGTCCTTAATTTATCCATCTGCTTGGAGTTGGCAAACAGCTGACACTTCCATCAAACCGTTCACCTCCAGTGTAATTACTTTTCATTACTTCATTACTTTGCGTTTTTCTTTTTTTATTCCAAGTTTTTTGTTTGTTTGTTTGTTTGTTTTGCAGCAAGACCACAATCTCCTACCACATGGACCTCTTGTGAATTAATCAAACAGGACACCACCTGCTTACCTCTCTGTGCATTGATTAGAAATGACTGAATTAAATGGCCTGTTTTAAATCAAATGAAATCAAATGACACGCTGTGGTTACGGAGACGTTGGACCATAATGAAAATGGAGCCGGCTCATCGGGGAACCCAGCTGTGGAACCACTGAAGCGTCCGAGACCACTTTTGGGTTCCAGCACAGACCTGGAGATCGCTTTAGAAACTTAATTAGTTGGTCTTGGAGAATCTGGCAACTGTAGAATGATGCGATCGAATCACAGTATTTTTACTTATTGTACACATTATGGGCTGATTTTATGGCTGTCTTTGTTAATCTGTCCCCACGTGCCAGTCACGTTTCTCTTATTAGCTTCTTCATTGTATTCAAATCAGAAATGCAGACGGCAGGCTAATTAAATTACATAACACATTTCTGTCTGTTTGTTTGCAGTGTCCATCTCTATTACCTGTTTCCCAGTTTGGAGGAGGGTGGCCTGGCAACCTACAGGACCGCCATCGTTCAGAACCAGCACTTGGCCATGCTCGCCAAGGTAACTTTCCCCCCGCCTGCTCATAACGGAGCATTTCTCTGCAGGTGAAAGTGTGTGATGTCTCCAGAGTGACATGAGGACATGTTCGAGACAGTCTTATTGTCTTCTCTCCTGATGTTATGACTTTGCTACTTTCTTCAGTGCTCACAGGGGAAAAGAGTAATTTGTCTCACTGCCATCCGAACCCATCTTTTTGCCCCCTCCGGTCTGTAAATGGAGTTAAAAGGTTGTTGTTTTGGAAACTGGTGCGACTGGGGTCCCCGTGGACCCCTGGAGGTCTTCCTGAATCACTCCTCAGTTCCTGTTATCACACCCTCCACCCTCCTTACTTCCCTGTTCTCTCGCTGGCAGCCCGGCAGCACTCACTGGCATGGTTTGTAAAGAACACAACAATAATTGTCCCGTGATGTGGAGAAACCAATTAAAAACTTCAATCTTTCATGTCGCTCCCCGCTGAATACAAAGATGCAGCCGCCCGAATCTGCATTAGTGCTGTGTAGCAGTTTGGCATGTTTCAATCTGCCGCTCGCGGGAAAAGTGAGCGTGATACAGTGTTCAGCGTTGCCAAGTTGTTTACCAAGTTCCTCTAAAGCCGTCTGCTGAAGAACGCTCGCAATTATCTTTCAAAAACTATCTTCAGCGTGCAAAGGCACAATCCGCCACTTCACTTGGAAGGCTTAAAAGTCAGAACGGGTTCCCTCGGAGTTGGAGTGTTTGTGATTTTAATTTGCGTGTGCAATCACGGGGGGTGGGATACCACCAACAGTTATCAGCATAATTAAAAAGCACCCTGGCTATTTCTTTGTCTGTAGTCAGTAAAGTCAAGTTGGGCTACTTTTTCTCCGGGCCCAGAGACTTGATGGACTGCAGTCACCCTCAACCCACCTCTCATTTACAATATAATAAATAACGTGCAGGTTCCAAGGCTCATTATTTAGTTTGCCTTTCTGCATTCTTGTACACTTTTATTGCATCACAACTAAGGGTGCACGGCTCCGATTCCCTTAATTTTGGGAGATAGGAGATTGACCGATACTTGCACGAGAAAACAATTTTATCGATTTTTTTATTTATTTCTAGTTTTAGCAACAATTGTCTAAACTTCATTTATATTTCAGAGCGCTACCTCGTGGCCAGTTAAAACAAGTTTTATTGTTTCTAGGATATTGTTCAAGAGTATGCTTTTGATTAAAATAAGATTGGAAAATTGAAGGTGCATTGTGACAAGTTAACACCTAGGGGTGGGCGATACGGCTCAAATATAATATCGTGATATTTCAGAGCATTCTGACGTTAACAATACATTTTGTGATCTAACAACAACAACAACAAAAAAAAATCAGTTATTCATTTGACAAAATTAACTTAACATGTTGCTTTGCAGTATTATATAAAAACTAAACAAAACAACAAGGGTTAATTTTACTGAAATTACTTTATTTAGTAAAGTATTCAGTCTCAAAGTATATATATATAAAAAAAAAAAAAATCTGTCTGTTATTTAGATTGAAAAAGTCTGCACAAAATATAGATCAACAAAATCCACCACCAAAACTAAAGTGCAGGTGAAGTTTCCCAAAATAACTGAATAAAATGAAGCTTAAGATCTGTGAGCATAAATTTATCATACAACAAAAATATATGTTTCCTCTAAATGAGCTGTAACTTCCAGAACTTGTAACAAGGTGATCGTCTGAGCCTGAAGCTCGTGGAGTTTCAGCTTCCTCTGTTCCTGCAGGAATGATTCATTTCTCTGATGCTCCGTCTCTGATCACCTGACTCTGTTCTGGGTCCATGGACTGTGGATCTAAGAGACACAGCTGAGCTGTGCATTGTTTGTTTTTAGCTTTTTAGCTAGCTAGTATTGCACACAGCTAATTAGCATTACACCAGTACCGACAGGGTGGTTAGGCGGTGCACAGTTCGGTTCGGTAGTTCAGCGCTCTCGGTTCTGTTAACTGGGCGGGGCGCCGCTTGTATAATGGTAGAGGAAACTGACATATTTACGTCATGAAATTAGCATATCGTGATATAATTTATTTTCCCGGGCAAGCTTTTTTTTTTAAAACCGGTATTATTGTGAACGATATGATATGGCTCAGCCCTAATAACATCTGACAGTGTCACTTATAAAATAAAATCTGTATCGGCCAAAATCGGAATGGGCAGGTCAGGCTTTTTAAAAATCAGTGATCGGCCAGAAAACTGCAGTCTGTGCGCCTCTAATCACAACTGGCTTCTTTTACCTTAATCAGCTTTTTTTTTTTCTTGAAAGGTAATTGAAAACAAAAATCCTAATGCAGAACAAAGACTTCAAATTTTGACAACGTTGTGAAAATTAGTCTTTTAATAATCAGTAATCAGACAGGCTTGAGTAAAATTTTACATGTAAGACAGAATATATAGAAGAGGTTTGAAAAGGAATTAAACAATAAGTTTGACATGCAAGCTGAAACATCCGTCCATTATCTTTGCCCACTTCTTCTTATTCGGGTCACATCCAGCAGTCACAGTGCGAGAGGCGTGGGACAACCTGGACAGTCCATCACAGGGACACATAGAGACAAATGAGACAAACAACTATTCACTCTCTCTCTCTCACCTAGGGACAATTCAGAGTTACCATCAGTCTAACATGCATGTTTTTGGTCTGTGGGAGGAAACAGGAGTACCCGGAGAAAACCCACGCATGCACGGAGAGAACATGCAAACCACCCAGAAAGGCCCCTGTACCAGGATTTGAACCAACACCCTTGGTCCAGCAACCTTCTGACTGAGAGGCAACAGCTCTACCAGCTGTGCCACCGTGCTGCCTAAGCTTAAACAGCTGCTGTGTTATAGCTGATGATGGTGCTGGAAATTTAAATCTGGAGGTTTTTTGTGGCAAACAGGAAAATTATCTAATCCTTTTTTTATTAATATAATTTTTATTTAACAGCAAAAATAATAGATTGCACTGTCATTATTTTTAATAAGAAATAAAGTTCAAAATCAGTTTGTGTAAAATAAGCTCCACCTGATTACCCAGAGTCTTGTAAAACCATCTTTAGCACCAGTATCACAGTATAAGACAGTATCACACATGGTCATGGGGGACTTTGGCCCATTCAAAAAACAGTATTGCATCATTTCTTTAAAAATACTATCAATTGTTAAAAAAGAAAAAAGAACTTGACACTGAAATTTGCATCATACTTTCAGTTTTATCTTACCAACCTCTATAACTGAATCATGAACATCTTAAAGTTGAATCTCCATATTGTCAGTAGTAGGTTTTCAGTAAAAGTAATAGAAATTAAATTTCACGTTCCCTCAAAATTCAGGTCAAACACCCTTTTTGTTTCATGTATATCATCTGTGATACTGTAGACCAGTAAAAAAATAAAAAAAGCAACTTTTCAGACTGTATGAAGGTCGCTGCTGTTCTATTTCACATTTCATCTTGGGATTATCTGCTTTGTGTGTGTCTGTGTTTGTGTGTGCATGCATTCACTTGTATGTGAATGTTTCTTCTCCGGTTGGTCTTCGTGCGTCATGCCACAGCTGGACTACACACGAGCACATCTGTCAGTGCCATGAAGTAGAACCTTTTCTAGTGAGGGCAGGCAATCTTTTCCATTTCCCTTGAGTTTTTCAGTGGTCTTTTTTATAACACTGCCTTCCTACAGAGAGCCAATAAAAATGTGCAATAAGATAGTGCTTTTTTTTAAGTAGCTATTACCGAGGTGTCCGTGGCAGCCTGCTGATATAAATGTGTCTTTTCTTTTCCAGAAACTGGAGTTGGATCGCTTCATGCTCTACGCTCACGGTCCCGACCTGTGCCGGGAGTCGGACCTGCGACACGCTATGGCCAACTGCTTCGAAGCTCTCATTGGTGAGATTCCCTCGAGATGCAGACACAGATGAGGAAGATCCTAGAAGAACAAGAGGAAATAAACATTTAGTAAACTACATGCAACACTATTATTCAAAGAAAAGATTCAAACTTAGATCTGTTTGTCAAATACATCAGCACATTCTCTACACCTATTTTATTTATATTTCTCTTAAGCAGCCAGACTTGTAATGTTAAAATGACTGTAATCAATAGTTTTTTAGGCTTTCTAAATGTCTTTTGAGGCTTTTCTTTGAGATTTGGCTGCTTTTTCTCTCATTTTCAGTCCAGTCCTTTTACCTGACATCATATTGTGCAGCTTAGAAAGAAAATGAGGACGGTGGACAAGTGAAGGACAAACATGCATCAGGCTTTAAAACCATAACAGCAAATGAACAGTGTCCTAAAATCATGTCTTAAAAAAAATAAAACCCGGGGAAAAACTTTTAAACAAAAACTGGACCCAGGTTCTGAGAGATGCCTCATCATTCAGCTGATTGTCTCGTGTATGCTAACTTTGCAGCTCATACGATGTTGGGTAGTGTCACACAGGACTGCAACTGTTGCACATTAGTGGGCAACTCCAAATTGCAAAAGCAATATGTAATGTTTTTGTTGCAGTCTCAATAACTTCTCAGTTTTTGTGACCCGTGAGCTGTGCAGTTGCATTTTAAGAGACTAGTGTTAGAAAATCACAACATATTTTTGTGTACACACAGAATTTGCATTTCAGGTCATGCACATGATTTTGCCGTCCACATATTAAACTACTTGGCCGACTTTGTACCCACCATGTCTGCCACCCCAACATCCATGATTTAATCCAGATAGAGTCCTTGCAGGTCACAAAATACAGCTCTTCCTCTCTTGAGATGGACTGGAGACACCGATGATGCCTTTGTGGTTATTTTGAGAGGAAACTTGTAGCACAATTTTTTGAATATGTTCAAAACTCAAGTGGCATGGCTGCACACCTCTGCAACTCAAGCAAAACTATATAGAACCCCTGGAAATGTCAAACGTGCTCTGGAGATGTTCTCATGAAGGCCATTCACCAACTAGTGAGATTCAAGTTCAGTTCAAGTTCAAGAATCTTTATTATCCCCATGGGGCAATTTGTTTCACAGTCAGTAGGCACAGAAAACATCCACACTACACCAGACATTGAGACATTAAAATAACAGAAATGATCACTGTTCATTGAGAAGACTGAGCTCTACAGGGATGAATGAGTTTTTCAGTCTGTTCATTCTAAATCTGGGCAGCAGATACCTGCGTCCACATGAAGCAACCTGAACTCACCATGGAGTGGATGATCAGGATCTGCCAGAATCAGCCTGATCTTGTTCACTGGCCTCGCCTTGTGTAGGTCAGTGAGGTTGTGTAGGTCAGTGAGGTTGTGTAGGTC